GCGGGGAGGCGGTCGACATCCCCCGCCACATCTGGGGCCCTGGTAAGTAGGCAAGTCTGTTTATACTTTGCGCCTGCTGAGTGGGAATAAAGTGCTGATAGTTTTGCCGGAATGACACTCTGTCGCTGGCAACCACTGAGTACTGATCCCTGGTCTTCAACACGTATGGGTACGAGACCACTTCCCTGCAGATCTGAAGGTTTACCACTGGAAAAAGTCTATTATGGGCAAGCGTGATAATGCACGTCTCGCCGTGACCTCGCTCAAGACGCGTTGAAGGCGTCGACACGTCTGGGGACGGAGTCAGGTTGATGTGGGAGTGAATTCAATCCAAGTACTCGAGAGCCCTAAAGGTCTCTCACGACTGATCCTAGCCGCAAACGATCACTCACATCCGCCACTTCAGTGGAATGAGCGCAAGCCGCAACTGCCAAAACGAAGAGATCAGTGTTGTTCTGTCAATCAAAGCACTATATACTGTATGTTCCTATGGCCACAGGGCGGCAATATACTTCTGGCCCATTCGGGGTTTTAGAAGTTACGCACCACGGTCCGTGGATCCAGCCGTGTAAGTATGTTTTTATTTTTTTTTGGATCCCGTTTGTTGTCCGCGAGGGCCTGGCCCAAGTATGATTTATCAAACGCATTCGACCAGCTTGGTGCAGCTTTTCAGGCGGACTATGCAGGACCACTACGACGGCTTCTCAGCATAGCAGGATTTGACATTGGAGATTTATATAATGTCGATTTTCTGAAGCCGTCTATCGTCCCTTCGTCGTCAGGGATATTTTATCCGTCATCAATTTGGACAACGGTTCGACCATACTGATTCTTGCTGCGTCTGTGCTTTGTCTCGTTGGCGCTCACCTACGTATGAACCTTCTTCGGTCCTTACCACCGAAGTTCTCAGGGTTTCACAGTGGCTATACTGTCGGCATCGACGGGAATAATCAGTTCTGCTTACTGGTTAGGGCTTCTCCTTATACTGATCCGATCATCATCAAGGTGCAAATGCCGGCATTCTGTGTTACATTTATTCATCACTCGGACGTGAGGGAATTCATTATGCGCATATGTATAGCCGGCCGGATAATACATATCATTATGCGTCTTCTTTAGCGTCATGGTCGAGTTTCTCGTGAACGTCTGGGTGATTCTCCAGTCGTGGGTCAATCTCGTCCCCGAAGACTTCCGCCATCTCTTCCAGGGATTTCCCTAGAGGCACGAGTCTCATTATCTCCGTTTCAATGCGAAAGAAAATTTATTACCTTTCGTCTCTGGGAAGAAGAATGCTATGATTATGAAATCTACAGCATTGAGGCAGATGAAGACGATGTAATATTTCCAATCGATGCTTTCGATGGCCAAATTCGAGACCTAAGTGAGCAAGGGACAGCGTTGTGAAACCAATATGAGAGATTCGAATTCACAGATGTCTCACCTGCGAGAACAACACATTGAAAGCCCAGTTGGCGCATGTCGCGACACTTGTCCCGATCGACCGGGTCTTGGTGGGGAATACCTAAAAAATTGCCAACATCAGCCCGGCTACTCAGGTTCAGTTTCTAAGAGGTGTTAGTCAGACCTCAGAAGCCAACACCCAGCTCACTGGTCCGAAGCTCAGAGAGAAGAAAATACTCGTCAAAAATATCATCGCGATACCAGCTTGTTGCGCTGGATGATTCTCCGAAATACCGGGAGGAAAACGAGCAACGATGGCGGTAAGAACCGAGTATGTAACTACCGTGCTCCCCGCGCCAAACATAAGGGGCTTCTTTCTTCCGACTGTGTCGAGGATAAGGGTAATGAAGCTACAACTAAATGTGAGCTTGTCCGTATGACAGGGGGAATAAGCACAAACAAGAAGTTGGCGATGGGCCCGACTGCACCATAGATGCCTTGAACCAGGAGCGACTGCGACGGGCTTAGACCTAGCGATTTATACATCGAAGGCCCAAAGTAGTTGATCACTAGACAAAGCAGCACCGTCTGTTGAGCAACCAAGATGGGCCGGAGGGCCTGACGTACCGTTGATACCGGTGAACTGGCCGAACACTTGTACACCGACGGCTATCAAAGTACGCTTGCACATAGCGGGTGTTTCCCATAAGTCGCTCAACCTCCTCGACCTGATGGTCATCTCGGCGCGAATCGTGGCTTGCATACTCTTAAATTCCGAGTCTGCAGCCTCCTGAGCTTCAAGAGTTTTTGCCCCATGGAGTTTACGAACAACGGCCTGAGCCTCGTCGTCGCGTCCCTTTTCCAGAAGCCAGCGCTACAGTAGATGGTATGAGTATGAACCCATGCTGGATTTATAATATCACATACAGGAGAATATGGCATGAAAGGTATTCCCACAAAGAGTATGCCAGCGGGAACTAACTAGATAAATGATTCTGAGCACCGATGGAGGATCGCCAGATGGGTATACGAGCCTGTAATCCCAGAGCAAGCCTCCAACCAGCGTTCGACTCCATGAATTGACATCCATAGCCGACCTACGGAATGTTCAGCTGGGATAGATCTACCTAACTAGTCTTCCCTACCCAGTTAGCGACAATGAAACCAATCCCGACCATCTGCTGAGTAAGGCCAACAATAAAGCCTCGAATCTTAGGCGGTGCGATTTCCGTCTGTGCATCGCTAGATAAATAGCACGTATACTAGATGCGAGATGATAACTCGCATTATACAACGGTACTGCCGTCGAGAGTATTCTGGAAGGGCAAGACAGATAAGGTAGCGTATAAGAAGCCATGGCAATAATACCTGCTTACCCGATTGCAAATCCAGCGACAATACGCCCTATCAACAGACAGGCAAGATTGTTGGCTCCAGATTGCATCGCGCATCCCCAAAGCGCTACTAAAGCACCCAACTGCGACTTCCTGTCAGGCTTGGCCTTATGATAGGTCAGAAACGAAGTACCTGAATGCTTCTCTTCCGCCCTATCTTGTCGCTTGTCCTGGGTGTATGCAGATTCGAGTCCGGCCTTATGGATCAAGAGCATGTAACGAAAGACATACCATCCAGAAAGCATGGCACCAAAAAAGCAACCGCCTAGCTTCGGATATCAGAAATGCAACCGACTTAAGTAGAGACTGGATGAGACGGGCCTGTGTATGTGGAAACCACCGCCCCAGATAAGCTGGCATAGTTTTCTGGGTCATTGACAAAATCCTCAAATTGACTGAAGCTGATGACTGAAGATATAATGCCACTTTGCAATCACTCTGTTCAGAGTCAACGACTGATGTAGACACAGTCAACCTTACCTATCGTATCTGTGTATCACAGTGTTTGGAATACGTCCATAAGCATGTCGTACGCTGAAATCGTAGATTACGCACCCGAATAAGAAGGATCCTTGCAGAACGGCGTTACAAGCTCTGTTCGACTCTCAGCCAAAGCTAGATGATAAGCACACTTACCTATTGCGCAAAATACGGCGATGAAAATGTTATATGCCAGGCCCATCCTGAAGCAGACAGCAACTTGCCGTTATAGATCTCAGTGGTGCGCGAGACGCAGAGGGTCCAAACGATTCAGTATGGTGCCTCGATTATAAGGTGGAGAACACCAGGGACGGGGAATTTTCTCGGATCCGTTGCATAGACGAGAGAATCAGGCTCTGCCTTGGTCATGAGGCCAGAAGGAGAGTCAGACTTATGAAATGGCTAACCAATGTACTGTATTCGGAGAGGTCACAAGAGAAGGTAAGTCAGAGTCCGGAGACGAGTGAAGCGGTCCGGTTGCCGCAAGTGATCCGGACGAGACCATCGGACGTGCAAGGAACATGCGAGATCGCTGACTGGCATGTAACACAAGGGTCAAGAATCCAAAACATCATCAGATTGCTTCCGAAATGCAGGACGCAGAATTCAAAGACATGGGAGACAAACGTACTGGACTGAAATAACAGTACAGCAAAGTCAAAAATATCCAACTGGTACGCTTATAGAACCTGAGCATCTGACTGGGCAATGGTGTCAATAACCCGTGCATCACCTGCATCTTCAGTCTCCGATGGAGAGGGGAAATAGGAAGGAATCAATCGCCTAGAGCGGAGAAATGCAGAAATGAGACATGGTCAAAAACGTTACGGATGGTCATGGCAGAGGTGCGAAACTGACTCGTAGACCATTTTGTCCTTGTCACTCCACACAACGAATATAACTTGTTCGATCTGTACATTCATGATTTATGAGTCACTCAGCCATCCCTTACTGCAAAAACAAATTACATTGTTCCCATCAGGCGAATCAAGGAAGGCTCTGGTGGTGCTTAGCGCAATATGAGTCGCGTCTTCGATCGGATAGCCATATATTCCAGTTGAAATTGAAGGGAAAGCCTGGAGCTTCGTTAGCGCTGATGAGCATCAAGTGCTTTCATGATTTGCGCAGACAATGTGTCTTAGCGAATTATCCGCCGCGATTTGCAGGCTTCTCTTGTAGCAAGACTCCAATTGCGAAGCCTTGGTCTCAACATGATTTCGCGAATACACCGGACCAACGGCATGGATGATGTGTTGCCTGACTCCCCATTAAAAAGCGAGAATGGGAAGCAGTAGAAAGAACAAAACACACGAAGGAAGGTTATAAGCCTTGGTCATCTTAGCATCCCCAGTATCGCAGCCGTCTAATGTGCGACCTGTAAACCTATATGGGTGAAATGCCAAAATCCTGGGTGTCCAGGGCTACTGACATTCTTCTAAGAGTTCGGGACCCGCAGCGGCATGTATTGCTCCATCCACTTTAATGAGATGAAGCCATAGTCATAAGGCCATATTAAATACAATGAAAACTTTTCCCTTACCTCCCCCTCCTCCTGGGGATAGGGAGATGTACAGAGGTCAATAGATACATAGAGAGACCATGAGATACCTACCAAGTAGGCTCCTGTTAGCTGCGTTCACAATCCCGTCGACCTCTAATTCCGTGATATCCCCCTGGCTATTCTCAACGGTAGATAATTGGTCAGTTATTATCTCAATAAAAATGCATTCCGTTACAAGCCTCTTGAAAGCCACCTACAAGAGCGATACCCTGTCCAGGAGCGATGCCTTTGCCTGAAAACGAAGTTGTGATTGGTCCACGGCTTTGAGCACGGATGTTCTGAACAACGCGCGGAGAGTAGGGATACTCGAGGGACCGACAGGCATGTTTATGATGTGTTTGAAAGGATGTATTCCAAGGGACTCGAGGTAACGGCAAGTGAGAGCTCAGGGTTGCACATGATCGTCCGAGTCTCTTTCAGACTTCCACGGTCGCCGGTCGGTCTGTGTTTTTCTATCGACAAAGAGATTTCACTCAAGGCTTCCACCCCCAATCCGACAGCGAGCTTCATAATGAAGAATGTACCCCCGATTGGCGTTGAATACCCTCCCCGTAGAAGTAAGTTCGCAATCTGGCCTTCGCTTCTGTGCTGAGGGTGATCACCACCGCCACACAGCTTCTGTATGAGATACAGCAATTCGCAACGTCCGAATCTCTTCCTCTGAGCTCCAGGCATTTCTATGCCGTCTTCAAGTCGGCTCCCACTTCAGTCCACGCGCAATATCTCATCGGCCGCTACCTGCATCACTCCGAGTATGCCAGAGCCGGACTCGCGACTATCGTCCTACGCTATCCCATCTGTACTCAATCGGTTCTCGAGGCGATCTTCCGCAGTCCGGACTGCCCCGCAACTCATTTGCAAAACGGGCGTACCGCGACAGAATTACCGAGGAGATTATTCCGAACATTGACACCGCGGCTGTCTAATCGGCCTTCGCGAAAACGAAAACGAGGAAGCGACGTTAATGGCAATTGGAGCGAAGATGACGAGCCTATACCTTTCCTTCGATACCTGTACGATCATCCGCGTATTCCGCCACCCTTTACGAATTCTTACGACGGATATGCGCTGACGAAAGCTGTACACGTCGGTTTCGTTCCACTCGTACGCTTTCTCCTCGACCACGATGCCTCTCCTGCGCGTAAAGATGGCCTAGCAGTGATGGTCGCAATCCGCCGGAAAGACCTTGCTTTAGTGCGCATGCTCATTGAACCAGACAGCCAGGCTGACCAGAGACCTAAAGCAAAACCACGAGAGGGTAATGACACGAAAGAATACCTTAGTTCCAAGAGAAGAAAGCTCGAAGATCGGATGATAGTCAGCCAAGCAATGCTCAAGATGGCAGTGAAGTGTGATGCTAGGGAGATTGTGGACTATTTTATGAAAGAGAAAGGCTGCATTCCTGATATGCAGACGGTTTTGACAATGGCACCTAGCAAGTGAAGGTGACAAGACGTCTTGTGAGTATGCTCTTTAACTCCTCTTTCTTGATTTCACTTTCGTACTGCGATCTCAAAATCTGACTAGGATCATATGAATGCCTGCATGGCCGATATCGTAGTTGAAGACGCGCCTAAATGGCTCTTCTACTTAGGATGCGAGATCTCATGGAGATATACGGGAATGTACGGTGACATCGAATCGTGACTTCATAAATGGATAGTATCATATGTTACTTGTATGATGATGGGGGATGGCATGGAAATAAGATGCGACAGTCTACAAGCTTGTCAGCACCGAAGTCTGAGATACAACAATCCGCTACAGTGATGTTCATAAAAGACAGATGAGGATACAGACGGATAGAAATACACCTCAAATATCGTCGATGTCAACTTCACCCTCATCACCGAACTCGAAGGTACATTCGCCTTCTTCGTCGCCAAATGTCTCTGTCTCGTTGATCTTCGCATTTTCTGGCAGCTCACCATAGGCTTTCACTTCGCCATCGACAGATAGCAATTAGCACAGATCGGATTCTTGTGAGAAGATAAACCTACGACTTCTCGCCTCGTCAGCCGTATACTTGACGATCACATCCGCTTTGTCGTCTTGGAAATCTCGCAAGGAAAGGAGGATGATATCTCCTTGATTGATCCACACCTGTTATTGAAAACCCAATGTTGGTGAAATAATTTCGGAGTTGACATCGACCTAGACACACCTTTTTCCTCATCTTGCCCCGGATGTGCGCCAATCGCTTCTCCCCATCAAAACATTGTGCTTCCAACCGACCATTACCAAGCATCTTAGTGACTTGAGCGTATTCCTGTCCATCCTCTCTAAAGACCAATTCGCGCTTGTCGTCGTCGTTCTCGTTTTTTCCACGTCTCCGATTCTTACCACCCTGTGTGCCACAGTCAGAACATCGAGATGATATAACCAGCCGTATTCCTGACCTTTCCCTTGTTCTGTAAAAGAGAACATCGGTCAGCACTGCTACAACCACAAATACTAATGAAGATCTGATCAAATTCACCTTTGGCATACTGAAAAGGTGGTCTACCTCGTAAGATTCTTAGACTCTCGTGAATTAGCTTTCTTGTGCCCGAATGGCACAGCGGTCGGGGTATCCGTAGTGGATCGGCAGCGAACGAAGGAGTCAAGCCTGTTATGAATGAGCGCTCAGTACTTACTGAGAGACCAAGGTCGTCCTTGATTTTCGCACGCGCTGTAACGTCACGACGTGACTATGGAACCTGCGCCGCATCGCGAATCACTCCGCCCTCAACCCAAATTGAGCCCTGACTCTACTTCTGCATCCTCCTCATACAGTGCATCATGGAACACGAAATAGACGGCTGGATCGCACAATTGAGCCAGTGCAAGCAGCTCTCGGAAGCAGATGTAAAAAGACTATGCGACAAAGTATGTTCAAGCTGATAACACAGCACGCCACCTCCGGGTAGAGACCATCTGGTCAACCCGCACGCTTGCTTGGCGGTGAATGGTACTAATGAAGTTTTGTTTGTCACGGTAGACACGGGAGATTTTGATGGAGGAGTCGAACGTTCAGCCTGTGAGGTGTCCGGTGACCGTTTGTGGAGATATTCATGGGCAGTTCGTACGTGGCTAATTACGACATCGATCGACTATTGGCACACTCACATTGCTCGTTGCTCGCCATTGTCTTCATGTAGCATGATCTCTCTGAGTTGTTTCGCATTGGGGGCAATTCGCCAGATACGAACTATCTCTTCATGGGTGACTATGTCGACAGAGGTTATTATTCTGTTGAAACTGTGACATTGCTTGTCGCCCTCAAGCTTCGGTACCGCGATCGCGTAACCATCTTGCGTGGAAACCACGAGTCCAGACAAATTACGCAGGTGTATGGATTCTATGACGAGTGCTTGCGGAAATACGGCAATGCGAATGTGTGGCGCTTCTTCACAGACCTCTTTGACTATTTGCCCCTTACCGCTCTGATCGAAAATCAGGTTAGATCTCTATTGTCATAATCTAATTGCACCGCTGCGTGCTCAATACGTTTATTCTCATGCACCATTAGATTTTCTGTCTTCATGGAGGTCTCTCGCCGTCCATCGATACGCTTGACCACGTCCGTGGTATCGACCGCGTACAGGAAGTCCCTCACGAGGGTCCTATGTGCGACTTGCTCTGGTCAGACCCTGACGATCGATGTGGATGGGGCATTTCACCCCGGGGTGCTGGATACACATTCGGGCAAGATATTAGCGAGGCATTCAACCATAACAATGGTCTAACCTTGGTTGCGCGGGCGCATCAGTTGATCATGGAAGGTATGCACGTATTTTCTGTTTCTAATGTTCGACGACATGATGGGCATGTCTGCTAGGGTATAATTGGAGCCAGGATCGGAATGTGGTCACTATATTCTCTGCACCAAACTACTGCTATCGCTGCGGCAATCAAGCAGCCATAATGGAGATGGACGAAAAATTATCGTATAGCTTGTGAGTATATCTTTCCTATGAGCCGTCTTCGCTGCGTTCAACGCAACTCCAACAGCCTGCAATTCGATCCCGCGCCGCGTGTGGGAGAACCTCTCGTGTCAAGGCGTGTACCGGACTATTTCTTGGTATGTTCCCATTTATTGGTCCACTTCTGGTCCGCTTATGTGGCTTGTTCAGTGATCTGTACTTTCTACATATTCCGCCGTTCGCATGTCACATCGTACAGTACCTGATAGTTGTTACATACTCCGTGTAGCTCAGAAGACCAACATGATACCTCTATTTGCGCTCATTTTATGCTCGACGTATTGTGTGATGAGGACGTAGGACACCCAGTGTCATAGTATGAAATCGTGCCAACTTTTCTAACGGGCCCTGACAGCGTCCAATTGCACTGACCGAAAATAAGTAAGCTTATGCTGAAACAAGGCTTATACAAAACGGAGTAGTGCGTGACAGATCGTGATTTTGTGACATTGACCGATCTGTTGTCACACGCCCTTTGCTCTTCGCCAGAACGCGTCCTCGAGCGACAATTCAGCGATGGCGGAACCACAAGCAATGTATGCGACCGACGAGGTATGTCAGGAATATGACCCGTGTATATTTCGCTAATATCCTGCTGTAGTACGGTCGTCCCTTCATCATCCTCCGGGAGCAGGCTAAGAAGACTCGCAGTCACGGTGTGGAAGCAATCAAGGTATTTGCGCAATTTGTAGCTTTACAATGCACCGTTTACAAGATTTGCTTTAGTCACATATTCTTGCGGCGCGTACCGTCGCGAACATCATCCGAACATCGCTAGGCCCCCGAGGTAAGGTTACATACTGCAGTAAGCAAAAGGCCTTATAAATCGCTTCTCAATTTCGCAGGACTCGACAAGATCCTCATTTCACCTGATGGGGACATCACCGTGACAAACGATGGAGCAACTATCCTTAGTCAGATGGAGGTCGAGCATCAAATAGCGAAGCTGCTGGTGCAACTGTCGAAAAGTCAGGACGATGAGATCGGTGATGGCACGACTGGTGTGGTTGGTGCGTATGACTCCTAAATCTCGCTTAAAATCTCAATGCAAGCCTTGAATAGTGCTTGCTGGTGCTCTGCTTGAGCAAAGTGAAGCATTGCTGGACCGAGGCATCCACCCCATCCGAATAGCAGATGGTTTCGAACGAGCATGCTCAGTAGCAGTGGAACACCTAGATAGGATATCTGATAGAGTGGAATTCTCCCTCTCGGACACTTCGAACCTCATCAAGACTGCCAAGACCAGTCTCGGGAGCAAAATGTCAGTCCTGGATTCCATACATTTATCTTCGTCATCTCCTGACTTCATCTCTAGTGTCTCAAAAGAGCATGAAAAGTTTGCCGAGATCGCGGTAGATGCTGTCTTGTCGGTGACTGATTTTGAGCGCAAAGATGTTCCTTTTGACATGATCAAGGTTGATGGAAAGGTCGGTGGTTCGCTCGCGGACACGGCACTCATCAAGGGCGTCCTTGTGGACAAGGATATGTCCCACCCACAAATGCCTTCTGTCGTGCGGGACGCAAAACTTGCCATTCTCACCTGCCCGTTCGAACCCCCACGTCCAAAGACAAAGCATAAACTGGACATTACGAGCGTTGAAGAGTATCGGCGGCTGCGTGAGTATGAGCACGACAAATTCCAGAGCATGATAAAAATGGTGAAGGACACTGGTGCCAACCTCGTGATTTGCCAGTGGGGTTTCGATGACGAGGCAAATCATCTACTCATGCAAAATGACCTTCCCGCCGTGCGATGGGTAGGGGGTCCAGAGATCGAGGTCAGTGTTTGGGCGGCTAGTGTCTCTGTTCACTGCGTACCTTACTCTTCTTTGTAGCTCATTGCAATCGCCACAAATGGGCGCATTGTCCCCCGATTTGAGGATCTTAGTCCGGAGAAATTGGGTAAAGCTGGACTCGTCCGCGAAGTCACCTTCGGCACGACCCGCGACAAAATGCTCGTTATCGAGGAATGTGCAAACGCACGAACAGTGACCGTGTTCGTGAGAGGCAGCAATAAGATGGTACGCAAATCCTTTGCTGTCTAGCTATGCTTTTCGCATTGATTTGCTCTGTTACAGATTGTGGATGAAGCCAAGCGTGCTTTACACGACGCACTGTGTGCTGTTCGTAATCTCGTCGTTGACAACCGCGTAGTCTATGGTGGCGGTGCCGCAGATATTAGCTGTTCTTTGGCTGTTGCAAAAGCCGCAGATGAGGTAAATTCTTCGCATTACGTATGGACTATATTTTATAACTACATTCTGCGCAGATTCCGTCAATAGAGCAATATGCCATGCGTGCATTTGCTTCCGCATTGGATGCTGTTCCCCTTGCTTTGGCAGAGAACAGCGGGCTGTCTCCCATTGAGACGCTCGCGGAGGTGAAAAGCCGACAAGTGAAGGAAGGTCATTCAACACTCGGCATTGATTGTCTTGGCAGAGGCGATAATGGTACGCGCACCTTTTAGAATGTAATAGTATCTGTGATGATAGTTTGCTTTAGACATGAAGGAGCAATTTGTGTATGACCCATTAATTTCGAAACGGCAGCAATATTTGCTCGCGACACAGGTTTGTGATATCTCCTGCCCCTGCGTTCCGACTGCACACTGATATCCTCTCTAGCTTGTCCGAGCTGTGCTGAAAATTGGTAAGTCTCAAATCTGTTGGCGACCTCGCTTATATTTATGATGTGCTTGCTATCTGTAGATGATGTCATTACTGCTGGGGAAGCAGAAGAATAGTTAATATGCATGTAACAGTAACAATGACAGCATTTAGACACCGCTTGCAGACTCAACCCGTACCGAGAAAGTGACCCAGTATCGATTAGGTTGCAGAGGGCTCAATCGTCATGAACACGCTGACGCTCCGTTTCTCTAATACTTTTGAAACCTATGAGATACTCCTGGTGGAAAGTGTGAGGGGCAGGTTTCGCGGCGAGCCCATCCATGCAGTACAATGAATGTCCGATCGCGATTCGTGGTGTAATTCGACGTTATCACAAAACGCCGTAAAGGACAGACTAGACATCACTATATGTGCATCTAGTCCAGCTAGCTCAGCAACTCGAAAGTTATTCTCTCTCTCAATACTAACTCAGGAGATCATGTAACTTTGTGATCTTATGACCGTTTTGATCAGTCTTAATGATACAGCATGCACTGCACTCTTGGTATGTACTTGGTAATCATATAGCATATGCCATACATCGCACGGCAAGTAGCTTCGAGACGTCGACGGTCGCGCATCCCAGATATCCATGACTAACCAAATAATCTCGCTTGCTGAAAGCTCGGCTTGGGCCTCGCAAGCAGGGCTTTCGCCTCTTCCGACAACTAACACGAAAAAGTGATGTCACAGAATGAACTTGAAGAAAGGAAGCCTGACATACCGGCCGTTGAGTAAAGCTCATCTATGTCAAACCGAGCGCTGATTGTCTATTTCATCTAAAACCTATCGACAGTAAATCGAGCTGACGCTGTCTGTAACCTTGTGGTCGCTGTGGGCTGCTCATAAATGCCAGTGTTTCATTTGTCGATGACAATAACGTACTTTCTCATTGTGTTAAGTCCTCGAGGAATGGGATCATCCTCGCATGGTCAGACATTAATCGGTGCTTGGATCATCTATAAGGATCATTTAAACGTACATTTAGCGGCGGCGCACAATCGCCAACAAGCATATATTCAACAAATCCCCCGAGTAGTGTAACTTGTTGCACTGTGACGAATTGTGACTCCCGAATCCAGGAGCCAATAGCACTTAATGCCATACGTGCCTGAGTACGGTATCTGTAAGACGAGCTACATCTTTCTCCCGCACTCGAATGTTCATATACGCGCGCGTTTGTCACCTCGTCTTTGTCAAACGGCGGGAGGGTTTCATGCATCCGTCGTTTCCATGTACGCGCACACGTGACGGTGTAATAAGACGCGTCGCGTCTAGTCGGAACAGCTTCACTAACCCGGCATTTGTCTGAAGCACACCAAATGAACCCTGAGGCTGCAGCCCAGATGAGGAGGATATATAATAGGACCAACGGGGACCCCTCTGTAATAGTCAATCCAATGTAAGTCACATTTACCGTAACCAAGCACCCCAAGATAAAAGTGGTCCGCATCCTCGTGCCCGGCCCCTAGATCCCACCCACGCGAAGTCAGCGTCTGAATATCTGGACGAGAAAAGGTTTCGTAGATTCATCAGAATAACAATGTAACTGCACGAAAAATCGTGTTACCGACCCTCAGCTCTGCTCATCGGCTTTCTCATCCGTCGTCTCATCCGTCTGCACAGGTGTGTCATGCGCGTTGACATCCCCGCTAAAGTCGGTGGAGCACTTGACGTCCCACTCTCTCAATCCCACCTTTCCGCCAAGCGAACGCCAGGTGTCCATCATCTTCGCGCGCCGCTTTTCGCACATCTGGACCAGCGCGGGCCAGTACACCTCGTGCTTGTACTCGAACGGACAGTCGCCGCCCCACTCGCCAATAAGCATGTCCGAGGTGAACAGGCCGTCGCTCACGCACGACGGGTTGAAACGCATTTTATCACGAGTGACGGGGTCAAGAAAGGGCGCAATGAGCTTGAGGAATACGTTGACAAAGAAGGGGACGTTCACGATCAGCGCGCGCCCAAGACGTTCGGGGTCTGTACTTTCGTTAGCTACCGTCAGCGTCCCCAGCGGAACACGCACAGTGGTTTTGAAGGATGTTCACAGTCTGCAAGATGTTAAGTCGAGCCCGAGAGCATATATGCGGACTTGACGTACCATACGTGCTATAGAAAGGGAAGGCGGCTTCGCCCTCGCGGCGAAGTCGACCATCAAAGCGAGATTCCTGATTCACGATGTTGATATATATGATTCCAGAAAGAGCATAAACATCCTTACTCCACACCTGGGCCCATCAAATCGACGCTACGCTCCAACATCCATGTCAAGAAATGCATTTGGCGAATGCTCTCTTCGGTGTTCTGATTCTTCGGACGGAGGTACAAGGCCGGTCGACCGTCCACGTCATAGCCAAATGAGACCATCTTGCCAGTTAGAGCCTTGAGGGTTCAAGTCAGCCATAAGAGAATTGGACGAGCGTTGCCGGCGACGCACTTCTGGCTCCACATGTGCGGGCGTAATCAAATCGTATACTCCGAACTCTCGTCGCCATCTAAGAGTGTCTTCTAGACGCGTGATTGCAGTCTTGGCCCCGGCCCATTTCGTGGCTCGCAGATATCTATGCGAGTGTCAGTTTCACTACTTGGTGATTACAAATCAAGGCACAACATAGCAACAGGAAGTGGTTTAGGCGGATATCATATAACTCACCTATGTATGCATTCATAGGACTGGGTGTTCGGTCAGCAGAGCAAACTAAGACACAACACACCAATCTATACTGCAGAAAGTATGATGATCATAAGTCGTGTACGCGCAGCCAAGCATACATGTCGTATTTCGAGATTTCCTCCAAAAAATGAAATGAAATGTTGTGATACACACCAACCAGAACTTTTCCTCGTCTCGCAACTGGCCATCCTCCGTTTGAGGAATGACGTAACTTTCATCACTAAAATACTTGATGACCTCTTCGAGCACAGGTTGGTGTTCAACAGAAGGAGCGTGAGCAGGTGGAAACTCGGTGAGCTTCTCCGGAAGGTGAGGGACAGGTGGGGGTTCGTATAGAGGCTCCTTGTCGACTGCCATGTTGACGCAGGTTCTACAAAGTAGAATCCTGTACGACTATTTCTTGCGGTCAGCAAGGGAAATAAGTAGGGAGCGACGTAGAAAGCAGCAGTGAACGTGAAACTCGAGCTAAGGGATCGGCTGAGTTTGAGCAGTGCTAGTGAGCACCATGGGCGCCGGATCGTGGGAGTCACGTGCTACCATGCTTGATCTGAGCGCCTGTCGCCTTGCTCGTTGTCCATGTCGGACTTCAGTGCGACTCCAAGAGCCATCGTGTCTTAGATGGCAAGCAAATCAACTCGCCTGCGTGCCTTGGCCCTCTACAAGGAGCTCCATAGACTAGGTAGAAACTACCCGGATCCGTCGTGCGTACGCAGATCTCGCCGCTCTGTGATTGTCTGATCGGCGCGTTGTACATGTGCGGTAGCTACAACTTCCACGGAAAGCTTCGCGGCCTCTATGAAAGTGCGTCTTCTCGCTTTAAGCAATATACATACCCTACAACATCACTGATTTTTTGGACTGGCGGATCAACCAGAAAATAGGAATCTAAAGGACCCGGAGGAGATTGAGAAAGCTCTGAAGCTGGGCGAATACATCCGCAATGGTTCGTCTCCCTGGGTTGCGAGTGCGAGTGTCCGCCGCAATGAGCACGCACTATTCGTTCTCCGATGATACACCTGACTATATGCTCACTTCAGAAACGCTTGCACTATATTCCCTACGCAAGTATCGACATTTGAAGAGGATGTATCCCGACAACACGTTCTCTGACACCTTTCCATAACGTCTGGCTATCCAAACCGCCTCTGCCGAGACGTGTTACAGCATGCAGATGACTGTTTGTTCGAGTGGATACAGGACGACCGTGCAGCTGATACATATTATAGCGACTCTCGCACCTGATTATTAGCATACTCAGCATACGCCTCACGTATCCGAGAGATGCTGTAGCTTCTCCAGTTGTGATCTTTCTACCGAAGGGCTCCACAATGAAGTCAGGTGGGACGATGGACTCCAACAAGGGCGAGCGATTGGGAGTAGATGGGCCTGGGGTAGTGTGTACTCTATGATGGTTTATGATATTGTATGGGTGTCTGGCGTGCTGACCTTTTATATGCAGCCAATGCAGTGTGCTTTGGTCAGGGCCGCCGTCATCTGGCCAGGCGATATCAACAACTCGCCGCCGGAGTGTTGTAACATGATTCTCCCAGAGCCAGGTATGTTTTAGCCGGACGTGCCCCAGCGTCTCGAACATGCGACTTGAGCCGGCAGCCACGGGGCTGTGCGCAGTGGCTCAGGAAGGAGAAGCGGGCTGGGTGACGTCATGGACCACTCTGGATGGACGTCATGCGCCTTCGATCACCTTTTAGAGTCTTCCCGCTTCCGCCATGGGCTGCTTCAAAACCCCCTGTCCTTATCCCGCTCGCACCCACCAGAACACCCTCACCTCTTCGCTCCTTCCACCTCCATCATGTCTGCTATAATCCCCATCGTCGCCCGCACCGCTTTCAAGCGTGTCGTCGCCGTTCCCGGAGCTAGCGTCGCCCCCTCTTTCCGCTTCTACTCTAGTGCTACGCATGCAAATGACCCTCTTGTAAGTCCAACGGGAACAGTTTGTCAACTTTCTGTTGAAGTTCTTTCAAGGTGTTGGAAACCGAAAAGCACAGAAATCTCTCCAAAAACCAGCACAAGACCTCTACCACGATCGACAATGCACCAGGCTGGAATGAGTATCTCGCCAGCGACTCTGAGGCCAACGTGAAGGTCTGTCGAGCAGTTTCTCTCTATCGTTTCTTTCTCAATGTCGCACTTAGGCGGACCGGTCCACCCACGATTTCGATGGCCTCCAACAAAGCACAGTCAAACATATAAGGAACCGACATCACACGAACGACTCGCCATTGTCCGATCCTCGCGAGCAAGCGACGAACACCAATCGTATGGACGATAGCGAGGTCGTCGAAGCTGTGTACGAACGCGATGAGGTGTCTGGACCCCTCAGTGGTGCTGCGTCAGGCTCAGAGTTTGTTGAAGAGGAGGAAGTAGAGCGAGTGACCAGACATAGGTCTGCGCCTGCCAAGTAAAATCCTCCAAGCTAAGTTCTGATGTGGAGGTTATGAAATGTACGGCTGGCTACTGCATTCCGCAGTCTTATCTCCCTCGTCTCGCATTGTATTTGTATGATTCTATTCTTTATGATTCGAGAAGATGTAATATCTATGTTACTTATCCAATAACTTTTGAGTCGAGTGCGCGAAGCGGATCATATCGTAACGTCATCCCATGGGCGCTCCAGGAAGGGCCGAGATTCGAGATTGGCTGCTAATCAAAATCATATCGTCATGTCATGCCAGAGGACACGGCAATTGTACGGGCTTGGGCTGTATTATAAAACGCGACACGCTTAAAATAAAATTTCTGAATTCTTCTCAAGTGTGATAAGTATAATCAGTACGGCGAGGATTAGAATCCTATATAAATGTAGGCATTCTAGCTCACTTTTTGCTGATGACAAACTTGGAGCTCGCAGACATTGTCTGTCATGATGTCTACACAACATCAACATCTGTACGCAGCTGCATGGAATTTCAGGTCTCGTACCCAGATCGAAGACACGTCTGGGTACGAGATCAGGAATGTCGGGTTCCATCCTGACTCGAGTTTCCGTACATCTCCAGGCTCTGGTCGATCATATGCAACATCCAACCGGTTACCGAAGGGCCCATTTGCTCAACGCCACATAATGATAGACTCGCTCCTCAGCTCCCCCAATTCATCCATGTGCGGATGTATTACTCTGAAACGCCGTGATGCTTGCTCAGTGGGATATTTACGATTCACAGCCACCTAATACTATGTCTCAGATCTCATCATACAGGATTTCTAGATAAGTGGTGCGAGCGGGGACATCTCGTTTCCTCAGCCCTCGGTTGACCTGTGTGTGCCCAGTTCTTAGCTACACTAAGTTCAAGTACCGGATAGTAAGTGCCGCGATAGTCTGCTTTCACACTCGCCGACCTGACGCGATGTTGCCGGTTTGCAGCTTGACCTATCCTGTCTGTCCCTTGCTCGACTTTGACGACTCGCATTTGACGACACAGACGCATCCATTTTTGTTACCACTGTTCCAACACCTACACCCCTACATTCATCATGCGTGCTGCCACCGTCCTTACCGTTGCCGCAGCCGTTGCTGCTCCCGTCTTTGTCAGGTAAGTAAATCATGCAGCCATACGTCTCGTAGAGGTTAACAGCCAGAAATGGCACTGTAGTGCCGCTCCGAGCGAGCATTACTCCCGGGATCTCGATGGGGAAGTTCTGGCTCGTCGGATGTTCAAGGCCATGGTGCAGGGCGCCGCGGACGGTGCCGGCCAAGGACTTGAGACGACGGTACACAGATTTACAAAGCTGTCGAAGTCAAACAAACCTCGCCCGCGAGTCCGGTTACCGAAGTACGTCCCACCAGCGCAGAAATCCATCAATAGCAGAGGGCTGCACAGCATGGAGTGGTTTGACCACGGTGATCGCGAGGACGACGACTTCCACCACGACGACCAAGAGCACTTCGAGCACTACGATGAGGAGCTCGAGCACCACCACGACGAGGAGCACTTCGAGCACCACGTGCGGGAACTCGTCGCTCGCGCCCTGTTCAACGAACTCGACTGAGCGAGACCGGGGAGTGTTGAGAGTGTCTGTGGATATATAGTATGCGCAGTAGTAATTCTCGAGAGTGAACATTCAGGCTTTGCTGGGGGCTCCCTACATTCTTGCTCCCTGATGAAGCTGGGCTGAATCCAAGTAAGGTTCGGCTGCTAAGAATTGAAATCGCAGCCGATCGCAGGTCAGTGATTCCAATGTTGCTTGAGAACTTGGATCTCAGAAATGAAGGACGCCTTTGAGCGTCCAACTCGTCCAAAGGTTGCTCGGATGTAATCTTCTATGGATGGTTGACAGTACAGTGCTCGAGGCTCCGACGCACGAAAGGAGCCCTCGGTAGACTGCATCTGCAACTTGCTCCCGCCATCGGGCCCTCCCCCGATCGTGTTCACGAAAATAAAACACAACTCGAATGGCACGCTCGTGGAGAAATCCGGGAGATCTGTCCACAGAAGCCGGGACGCAGGCGGCGGACCTTGCCATGTTACTCCGATACAGGGAGAAAGAGAGCGCGAAGATGTGCGGCGGGGTGACCAGCGCAGACAATCTTGGTCGGTGGAGACGGGTGTCTCTTGACGCTTTGATCCATAGCAGTTGAGTGGAAAGAGCAACCAGCAGGACGGCGGGGGAGGGGGACTGCATAATATACATATAGGCCCGTGGCGCGTCGATGACGACAGGCAGGCATGCAAACGGTCGTCGAATCGAGGTGCCGAACCGCTATGCAATTTCTGTCTGCGTAGGACTCCCGCACCCTCAGTCCGACGCCGTATAGATCCACAATACACTTACCTTCGACAACAATGACACCAGCACTCGGAGCGCTGCACGCAACCCTAATAATAGACCCCGGTGTTGTGAGGGTCAGCGAAGATGATCAATGAGCGGCCGCGAACGCAGAGTCGACTCGGATGCCCACTGCAGCTGTGCCCACACCAGACGACTATTGGATCTCATTTGGGAAAATATGACAGCCATTTCTTCTGGCAGGAGGGGCGAATCCAGCTGGCTCCTCCATCTGGAATGCGATCTTGCCGAGGGTTCTTCAACGTAGGTTTGAAACTACACAGTTGTCTTAAAGCTGAGCTCCAAGCAGAGTATGTGATACGGAAACGTACGAAGGTATGCCGTTGATCTTTGAGATCCCAGAACATCCGTGTATCCCGTGAGCCTCCTGTTCCCGAAAAGTCTACGCTGCAATATAGCCGGCGAAGGTAATTATCGACCGCGTGACGACAACCCACTCGTGAACGGAGTCAACGTTGTTAGTATTGATGATGGTATGCAAGTCGGGTAGTGGTACAAGCTAGACGTACACATTACTTACAAACGTATGGTATGTATATCCTAGGCACGTCGAAATAGATCCAATATAAGTAAGCGGGTAACAGTCTCGCTGGAGACGATAGGTTTTGCAGGACCACGCTGCGTGTGGACATGCGATGGTGTACTGTTCTGCATGGCGAGGGGCGCATACAAGGAAATAATTGGAGCGGGGCGTGAGGGGCGTGAGGGTCACCTGCAACAAAGCGCGCATTTAGCCAGCAACTCTGCACGCATACAGTCGATCAAGCTCACAGGATGTCGGTGATGGACTCTAAGAGAACCTTGGGTTTGAGAAGCACACTACGATTCAGTGTCCCTTCGCTCGACGCCCCGTTTGCAGCACCGTTCCCGTTGAGTCCCGCCCCGCCATGGCCGTTCACCTTACCCCTCGCATCTGCAGACTGGTCCTGCTCCGCCGAGCCGCCGGCCCAACCTACGCGCCTGACGCACGCAAGCCCGAGTTCGACGGTGCAGAGGACCTTGCTCTGCTCGGAGCCGTGGCCCGCATAGATGTTCTCCATCGACGCCCAGTCGAACCACCGGTCCCTCTCCTTGTCCTTCCGCGACGCATTGGAGGCGACGCCCTTACCAGCAACCCAGGTCACCTCGAACACCCCGCTCATGACGCCCTCCTTGATGACGCCGACGATCCGCTCGACCCGCTCGCCTATACGCGCGATCGCGCCGCCATACCGCGTCCGCAGGGGGTCGCGGTGGACGCCGCGAGAGTCGGTGCAGCCAGACAGCGCGAGGATGGCAAGGAGGCCGCGGAGGTTGGTCTCATTGAGGGAGAGCATCGAGGACGGCGGCGGGGTGGACGAGCGGGACGGCGGGGTGAGGAGGGCGCGGGAGTGCATGTAGGTGAGCGCGCGCCACCGCGAGGTCGTCGGCTGTGGCTCTACGGACGGAGGGTGAGGGTGGTACACGGGGGTGGCAGAGTGGACTGACCTGCGTGGTGCATGTGCTCAAAGACGTTGGTAAGGAACTGGTCAATGTCGGACGGGAGGCCGAAGCAGAACGAGTCGAGGACGCGGCCGACGCAGCAGACCTCCCACGCCTGGATTGCGAACTGGACGAGGGTCGGGTCGCCTGCGTGGTCGCGGGTGACAAGGAGGTTCATCATGACGGGCCCGAGGGCAGTGTTGACGAGATCGCGGTCGGACTGGCGGGAGAGGTCGAGACGTCTGTCGAGTGCGGAGGCAAACTCCTCGGCAACAGACGCAGCGAGCTGGACGATCTCGGAATTGAGGTCACGGATGGCCTGGATGAGCTGTGCGCCGGACCATTCGTCAGTCTTGCTAAGGAAAGACTTGAGGCTGGCGACCTCCTCTGTGCGGTCGTGGAGCGTGCGGCGGGTGAGGGTGTAGGAGGCGAGGAGGGAGTCGTAGGACGTGCGGTTGGCTGGTTCGGTGGTCGACGGGCGGTATATCTGGGGCGGGGTGGACGGTTCTGGCTGGAGGGAGAAGGCGGCGAGAGACTGGCGAGCGGCCTGGACGTCGCGCTCGAGGGCAGCGACGCGCTGGTAGAGGGCGGCATTTTCACGCTCGAGGGATTGGATGCGCTGGCGGTCCCGGTCGCGCTCCAGCTCGCGGTCGCGGTCAGCCGCCCAGTCGCGGCGGGGGTCGTGGCCGCGAATTCTGGGATGGGGGTCGGCCACGGAATGAGCGTCGTCGGCCAAGGCGTAGGCGTCGTCGAGATCGTCAGATAATCGCACTGAAGGCAAAATCCAATCGAGGAAGGTCCAAAACGAGTTCATCAGAGGCGAGCGGTGTCGAATTCATCCGTCAGCAAGCGGTGGGGAACAACAACACCATGCGCTACCAGCGTGGCATCGACATGAACGCAAGCGGCGAGCGTGAAACTCGCAACAGCGAGCAGAGCAACCTCGAGGCGTGCACAGGCGAGCCTCGTCGCCTCAGCCTGCCTCGCTGGCCAAACGTGGCTGCTTTCGCTCCTCCTCCAACTCCCACTCCCACCACCGCTTAGCTCTACTCATACGTCTCTACAACGGCGTCTGCAGTCGACAAGCGATCCCAGTGTCCTACACCGCGTAAACCCCAGCTGGTGCCACCCACGTTGTCCTGGAGAACGATCATGAGCATCCTCGAGGCCCCAGCCGTCGCCAGATGGCCAGGTTTTCTCATCGACGCTGGGCAGTCTCCCACTCCGCGTCCCTGAACATGCCAGGTGGGGCGGAAGTGACAACTACTGAAGCCGGCAAATTCGCCGAGATGAGAAATCCACCAGTTCTTGCCATCCAACCTGCACCTGCAGATGGCTCGCACTACTCGGTCCACCGTAGGCCCAAGTTGCAGCCCTTCTGCCGAAAGACTTCTCGGACTCTCTCTCTCTCTCGGCCACTATAATCTGACCCTCCATCGCACCCAGGCACGACCATCCAAATCGCCCACCCACGGCCTGGCGCGAGCGGCCGTCGCCCTCAGCCCCCCAAATCACCAACATGATCTCGAGCAGCGTTCGCTAGCACGCGCGCCCCCGTCCTTCGCCCAGCGCCTCCTCGAGCGGGGTCCACCCGCCGAACCAGTCGCCGTCCTCGCACAGAACGGCGTGCGACGCGAAGCACAAGTGCAGATGCTGCCCCTTTGCACTTCCGTCCTGCGGGCCTGCAACTGACACCGAGCCGCAGCAGCGTCTCGCGCACGCTTCCACCGGCCCACCGGTCGTTCCAGATGGCATCCTCCCACAGCAGGTCTTTGACGTTCTTGCCCTTCTTGCCCTGCATCGTCTCGCGTCTGCTGCCCGCGCTCTGCCACATTGTCGCGCGCTTGGAGGGACCTGGGGATCAGACGAGGGGCCAGCAGCGCGCCTGCGACGACCCCTGCCCGCTCAAGCTCTCCCGCGACCCGAGTCCGAGTCCTGTACACAATTGCAACGGCTCGCTCGCATTCCACAAGCCTCTCAAACTCGGCAGTCAAAAGTCTTGGCATCCAGAGCTTTTATTGGACTTGTTCGCGCGATCGCAAATATCCAGCCTCGCTATCCCTCAGCTGTCTGTTCTCCGGATCTTGCGCACTGGCAGTGGTGACGACAATAGATGCACAGCGTGAGCAAATGTCTGACGAGCGATTTTACGCCGGAGTCGGCAATCTACGGCTCGTCCGTTCGCAAAATGGAGCTGCTGCGGTTCCCTCGAGAAGTCTGTGCATATCTGTTCGTACTACACGGTCTGCGATTGACTCGACCAATACGTCCGGATTCTGTGATTCAGAGCTGCGCCGAGGGGGCGGCCTGCACGCCCGGTAGCTTGTGGGTATTTCGCGTCATCGCGGAGCCACCCCTCGATCCCAGAGGCTGCCAAGTCGAGCGAGCACGCGCAGAAGTAGTAATCCCGAATCCGAATGCGATTGCAAAAATACAAAGCCAAGTTACACGTTTACACGTCACCCTTGTGTGGACCCTGTTATACATCATACATGCAGTGCGCGGAAGGTGGCATACGAGCTGGTCGTGAGACGGACTCTAAAGACGAGTCGCGGAGAATAGCTTGTGTGGTCGTGTGAAAAATATCATAAAGAATAAACAGCCTACTCAGAACTTGAAGAAACGCGAATTTCTCCGGGCAGGGGCGGTGGCGCTGGCCGCCGAGGCGGTGGGGACGGCAGACACCTTGGGCGGAACGTTCAAGGGGGCCTCCTTGCTTTGGAAGGCAACCTTGATGTACTCGCCCTTGGCCAGCGCGACGGCAGTGCAGGCACCGTCATCAGTCCATGCACCCGCTGATCCTATGTACAGAGCGCACAGGGTCAGCTGGGGCGCGAGCGCGTACTGGTGGTACGAACCTCCAGGGGTTTCCGCGTACGACCATTCGGTTGCAGTCCAGAGGTTACCACTGTAGGACGTCGTCAGTTCATCTGCCGCAATCATGTGCAGAGTGCGTACTTATATACAACCTGATCTCCGCTCTCGTACTATTGCCATCGTGAGCACATGAAGTCCACGGGAAGCGCCGCTTAAGCAAATACTCACCGCGACGTTCGCTACCCAAGTAGCAACACCCGCGCAGTTGCCAGAGGTCGCAGCGGTTGTAGTCGTGGCCGGTGCGCTCGAAGTTGTGGTCGCGGTCGTAGTTGCGGTTGTGGCTGGGGCAGTGGTGGTCGTAACAGGGGTGGCGGCTCCCGTCAGATAGCTCTTAACCTGAGCGTCGTAGCGATCGTTCGCTATGCACAGAGAGAGAGGGATCAGCGATGACCCAAGCGTGACGGCGAGAGCGCGCACCATACGCTTGGGAAGCGTCCCAAAGCATGATACCGCCGAAAGACGAGTAATTCTGGCGCGTCTGGATAGCAATCTCACCCAGGGTGGCGGCGTCAACGTAGCCAGAACTAGCAGCCGCTTGTGCAGCGGGCGCGCCGATGTACACTTTCACGTCGGGGTTGGGAGAAGTGTTCTTTGCCCAGTTGTCCCTGTTCTCTGGTCAGCAGACGTGGCTTCTGGCGCTCGCATTGCCTTACCATGTGGAAAAGTCCCAGTCGTTAGCGTTGTCGTACTCTGTCAGCTGGCAGTAATTGTTATCTGCAAGAGATCGATCAGGATTGAGAGGCAATCAAGATCAGTGTCACAGGACACGTACAGAATTGGACGTAGACCGCATCGAATGGCTCAGCGTTGATGACACTACAAGAGGATAAGATGCAGGATAGAGAATGAGCCTCGAAATGCCTGACCTCCCGATATATGCGTCTGGGAAAGGGCACTGAGGTGCAGCAGTGATGTAGTACCTAACATAGCGACAAAGTAAGCGATGTCCCTGGATAGGAAATTTGGACCCACGATTTATCTCCAGAGTTCATTAAGGAGCGAAGTGAGGAGACAAAGTTCGAGTAGTACTCCGTGGAGCCACCCTCAATATCCAGGTCCACTCTATCGCACGCGCGGTTAGCGTCAATAATTTACCCATAAAACCTACGAACCCATCCAAGACAGCAGACCCGAAAGGTCTGATGCTGCTAGAACCTCCCAGGAACAAGTCCCAAATCGTCGTTGCAAAATCCTCGGCTTGGCTCGCATTGCTGAATCCCACGGCACCAGTGGCACCACCCAGACTGATCGTCACGATTTTACCCGCGCTCTGACATGTCTCTATGTCAGAGGCAAGGAATGTGCAGTCAGGCATCTGAGTGCCATTGAAGACGGGGTCATTCGCAGTGCTACAGGTCTATAAAATTTCCTCAGCAAGCGCATACGAACATAAAGTTGTTCAACACTCACGTTGGCTAGATCAATGGATGGCTCCCCGCCTTCACCAAAGAAGACGTCCAGGAACGCGACTGGGAACGCATTGATGACGTCGTCCTGATGGAAAGCTCGATGAGCATGGTCAAAGACAATGTCAGACAGTACGAACCTGGCAGTAGTACGAGATCGGCTGCTGGTAATCTGCCGTGTTTCCCCCCGTCGCACCGTAGGAATTCTGTCCCCAGTAACTGAGTAGAACAATTGAGCGGCGCTATGAAACACTGTTGTCCAAGAACCTACACAGCAAGCTGTACAATCGTAATCAGCTTCAAGAAGGCAGTACATTATGAGAGAACACTTACGTTGTCCGTTGAACTGATATCAAAGGCACCGGCGACGAGAACGTCGGAGGCCAAGATCAACAAGCCAAGCCAGAAGGTAGATGAAAGGCGACTCGAAGCCATGCTGTATCACCGCGGGGGGAGGGGGGGATCGAGGTGTCCAGACACAGTCTGAACTCGCCCCTTTTAAGAGCAGTGAGCCGTGATGAACGCGGCGGAGTGCATTAGGTCCCTTAGAGACGCGTCGCACCGCAAGGAACACACCCGTATTAGCGCATGTGAAGCGCATGGTACGGTTCTTGTGAGGAGTGTGCGGAATATCACAAGCAGCATGATTATCAGAGAGCTTCCGGAGGGAAAGGGTGTCCATGCGGCGACCGCATCAACAGGAAATCGTCCCGAAATGTCTGTTTATGCGTAAGACCGCAGACGTCTGGTGGTCGTATCGCGAGATAAGCGGTCTGGCAGCCGGGATTTGCGAGGACAACGACACACGAATGGTATGGCACGGCGCCATTTGTATCTGCTTCTTTCATTATGACAGCCGGACACCGCGCCGCAAAATGGATGTTGAGAAAATGATCATTAACAGGACGCATATATCTAGACGTCAATCAGGTGGCAACGATTCAGGATATGCACGGAACCAAGGGAAAACAATGCACATACTGTATCTGTGGCGAGCACGTTGAATCGACGATCTATCACTGAGCTCTGCGTGAAAAGTCGTTATTCTATTCATGGCAGTCAGCTCAACTAAGTAAAGTCAGCATATGGCCGCAGGGTTCCTCCGAGCCGGCATGCTCACTTCTGTTTCGCAGCGGTAAGCCGATAAGCAAAAAGAGTGAGAGGGGCGCGAATGATAAGACGGGCGACGGTCGCAATAGCGAGTATCGGCAGCCCGTCCGAGTTGGCCATCGTGGTCGCATGTCAAGTCGCACTCGGCCTGACTCGCACAACGGGGCGCTGGATGGGAATAGGCGCCCATGCATGATCTCGGACTCGGAGGCATTGTTGAGCGTCTGTTGCTTTGAATGAGGCGTTGAGTGCAGCTGGTTACCGCTCGCTGTCTCCGTCCTCGTGCGCCTGGTGTAGAGCATGCTTGCGAAGGTCGTTCTGGACCTCCTTTCAGGGCTCTGCGGGATAGCATGTGCAGGATCTGATTGTCATACGACTCATCACATGGAGACGGTGACCGATCCTCTGCTCGTGTGCTCGCTATTCATCGCAACGGACACTGTTTCAGGGATTTCAAGACGGCCCTTGCAGCACATGCTTCACCGCAGCACGGCGGCATGTTCGCACACCAGAAGCTGGCTTAGCAGTCTGCCCATCGTGATGTTCAGTGCCACACGCAGGACGATAGACGTCTGACTGGGAGTACTTGCCGCTATAGGCACATATCATGAGGCTGCTGCCCCTTTGGGCTATTCGGGGCGAATTACTCGGTACACTACCAGAGTCTCCATGAGTTACGGTTCGCTGACTGTCTGCCAGTGGCACGGAGAGCCAAACTACTAGGGCAACGTCCGGTGATAGTCGGTATGTCGTTATGATGCTTTGGCTATGTGCGGGTCGCCGATACGTGTGTATCATATGGCTCCGCAATTGGCTTACTTAACAGTCGAGCATGATGTGCTGCCCGATCATGGCTTGAGTTTGGCCACTTGGCTGACCGTGGTATTGCGATGGACAAGGCAGACAGCTGTGTCGTACAAAGATGTGCCACTAGATATCCTCGCCGGCGTAACACGCCAGATTGATGCGTCTGCGTTCAGTCACTGTTATTCTGATATACAGGATCCTAGCTAGCACACATCAGGTGGATTCCAGTGGCCTGCTGACCTTCCAATCCTACCATGACACCAGCGGTTGAGTACAGCTTCCCCTCCAAGTCTACAGCTCAGTTCAAATCATTCTCTCTCTCAGACTCGCACGGCATGGCTCGAGCTTGGGAATATCACTCGCTGGCTCCACAGCACAAGATCGTGTTTCGCGACCCTGTCGCATAGACCTCGGGCACCTGATCCCCTCCTCTTGTCTTCTGTCTCGTGGTTATGTGAGTGAACCTAATACGAAACAAATACATCGTTGCCATGAGCCATGAGAGCTGGGAAGATGTACGCGTCATTCTAGGAGCCACTACTTACTCGTCAAGCTCGAGTGTTCTCTTCCGATGTTCTTGGTCTTCGAAGGGCAGTAGTAGGCTGCCGCTGTATCCATCGGCATCTCGGTGTAAGCGTTGAACATATCGGGTACTACACCTGACGAGCATAGATACAGTCCGACTGAATTATCATCTCATTCATCCTCGGCCTTATTTCATTGACAAATTTGAGTTTCTCATCTCATAGAGACGACAAGCTTAGATTGATACGGAAATGAGTTCATTGCACAGTTCTCATGCCCTCATTGACTCCTAGGCACCCTGTTCATATTAAATCATGCACGAGAACATGCCGTTGAGCTATGGGCGACCCACCTATGTCTACAAACCAGATACAGCCAAGCAACTAATCACAATAAATACAGAAACTAGACCAATGACTTGTCCTCATTGCCAAACATTGCCAAGCGTAACGTTCCCGACACTGTTCCTCAAGATAAAACATTCTAAGCAGTAAGCTACTTACCTGTGGGGATCCACCATGCCTCATCTTTCCTATTCGAAGTATGTTCGTCGTGCGATGTCAAGAAATCTGCAAACAAGTTTTTGATATGACTGACTACTGGATCCCATTGAACACTATCAACAAATGAGAGCATAAAAGAACTGGTAGACACTGTAAAACTACATGTCAAGCATTGAAATCCAACGAAATGAATGAGACAGGACTACGCTTGCTTATCAGCTACTAATCACTAGCCCACAGCCCAGTATGTCCTTGCAGCAAGGCGTGGTACTATCAGTCAGACACAATGCGTCGAAACAGATGGCCGACGCATTGTGTCTGATTCATGGTACGGCTCCTGCAAGGAATGAAGACGCTCCTAGACAACCCCTCTCAAGTCCATGGGTCAAGCTGAACAAGTTTAAGTAGTGTGGGCTTATCGTGGGGTCGCCCTGCGGCGGAGTCTGACGGAGTCCCAACTGATTGATTCCGAGTGGTTATCGTTTATGGCAGGCGTTATGATTTGTGATCCATTCTCACGAAATGACTCAACTCTGAATTTGAACTGCAGTTCAACGTCCAATGATACAGTACTCACTCGCGGATATCCGAATAGGTTCGGGGCCGCAACGATGACTGCATAGCCCTTGTTATTCAGTGATGGCGCAGCTACAAGAGCCACGACTCGGAAGTGGAATACTTAAGGCTTGGGTTGGATGGCATTATTAGCCTGGCTCTAACTTGGTGACTCGTTTTGCTATCACATGTATGAATTACCAGTATGAGCGTGAGGTCTGAATATCTCCCACTTGTCAATGAGAAAGCATCCACCAATGAGGAATACCAGACTGCAGCAGTAGTGACGCGGCTGAAATACGGTGAGTTTTACTTGCAGAAAATAATTCACCCAGTTCTAATTTCATCTGTGGTCGGCCTAAAGCACATGTTCCGGTTGCCGAGAGGGCCGTCAGTGCAGCATTCGAACATAATCCGATGCTTCAATATCTCAATAGTACACCTGTGCGTGCTGACTTTATTAATTGACTATCTGTGCCTTATAGTAAATATGGGCATGTCGCCCAAGGACGCACACAAGTCGCGTAGTATGTGTAGGATTTTCGGACGGATGTCAGCTATAATTCAGCTTGCATTATACGTACGTTCAGGGACGGCCTTCACAATTGATGCAGGAGATGCAGTAGCGATGTTGTGGGTGTTTCTTCTCCGCAAATTGGTGTGGAACTCATATTGGGTATCGTTCACAGTGCTCTCCCCGGGCCGGCATCTGCATTTGACACCTTTGTTTTGAACTCGCTGAACAAAGGGATTGTATTCTATACTCCAGAACAGCGCAAGGTATATACGTCATATGAGACTTGCTCGTGCTTCACTGCTGACGATTTATACGTCTTGAAGCGCCGTCTGGAGTTCGTCGAGAAGTACACTGCGACAACCAAAGCGGCTTTCGGCGACGAGATTACTCAAATGTTTGCCTTGAATATTTTAGCAACGTCCCCCAAAAAACAAGGGACGGGTTACGGCACTTTGCTTGTGAAGGCAGTGACGGACAAGGTTCGCGAGACTTTATGTCATACCTACCTGAGCATAAGTACTGATTTTGATAACAACATAAGGCTGACACTGTTGGGCGGAAGACATGGCTAGGCTCGTCAGATATTGCCAATAGGAAATTCTACGAAGGATGTGGATTTGTCGTGGTGGGAGAGTTCACACTGGGAGAAGCGAACCCGACGTGGACTGCGCCACCCGTGGTCATTCAAATTGTGAGTGGCAAAATGTAGCGACATAAGACTTCATAGGTAGCTCACATTCGTCTTAGATGTTGAGGGAGCCTCAGTCGCTCGTTTCTTGATCAGAAAAAAATACTTTCTCTATCTGACAAGCTGGAGCAGCACCTTCATTGTCTGTTGTGAATATATATAACGTTGCTGATCGGCAGTCAGGTCCAGTCATCAAGTATGTTCTTGGAGATGCTAAGGGACAATAGTCCCCCGTCCCATGACTCTATGACCATGCCAATATACACTGCCACCACTACTGATCTCGACAAACACAATCTCATGTATCTGAAAGACTAAATAAAATGAACATATGAAGGTGATCTGCTCGCTGAAAAGAGAGCAATGCATGTCTATCCGAGAAACCAAGGTAATAGTACAGTATGACATACAGCCGTCTGCAACGGTTGGATCCAGGAACCAAATAATAGGGCTCTGATACCTGACCTACTCAAACTCACCAGCCAGCTAAAACTCTTTGAACCCCCACGGACAATATGCTACGCCTCGGTAGTTCCAGGGACACGTCTTCCGCTGGACGTTCCCTCTCTCGTCTGTCGCACGGCAGTATACCGTGCCATGCGCGCCCTCCTGTACAACGTCGCCCGTGAGCCGTGCAGTCCATAGTGTCCAACTCCAGTTCGCACTACGATTGCCGTCCGCATTGGTACCCCTATCCCCGCCATTGTAGGTGATGTCTGCAGACACCCAGCTCGCACCGCCGTCAACAGTCACCTCGACACACGTCACCTTCGCCGAGCCACATCCGATTGCATAGCCCTTGACGAGCACGGACGTGGATGACAGCCTTGAAATGGATCCGACAATGGAGTTAAGGGGGAGTGTTGTCATTGAGGGATATTTTGGCCACGCCCCGGCGGCCTGCTCCCGCGTCTCAACCTGGAAGAAGGGTGGTTAGACTTCGAATGCCCACGGCATTGTGAGTGGTAGATTGTTGGATCGCCGAAGCCGTAAAAAATTTGGTCACAAGGACCCTTGGTCTAACGGCAGGAGAGGGAAGAATAAAGAGGCCGGTAAGGGAGTTAATGAGCGGCACTAGGATTAAATGATCGAATAGTAGTGCGGACTGAGATTTACGAGCCGCCAGTGTCAAGCAAGATGATATAAGGAACATGAAAAAGAAGGGGGTGCGTATGTGCGATAATGGCCCAGATGGACTCACATTCTCGGGTAGTATTTTGTAGTCCTTTGCTTGGTAGAAATTAGGGCTCTCTTCTGAGCAAACTTCAATTTGGTCCACCCACTTCACCCAGCGCGCGCCAAGGAAGCCAGGCACAACAAGGCGTAAGGGACCACCACGATCTGGACTCAACGGCTCATCGTTCATCTGACGAGGCCATTGATGCCGACAGAGACATGCGTCCATTATGCATGAGATATAGAAGAAAAGGTAAATTGAGGATAAGCGAGATCAGTACACGGACACGGATATGTGCGCAATGTAAGCACCTCATAACCGAGAAGGACATCATCGGAGAGCGCTTTCTCGAGAGAGATGCTCGCGCCATAATATGTGTCGTCTTGACATGGTGTTACGTGCGAATTGAAACGAACATACAACCCGGATGGCCCCGTAGAAGCTTCTGTCTCAGCGGACGTTTTGCCTGTCGAAGGTTCGTGCGGAGGTGTTAGAGGGGAGAAAGAGCATTTCAGTGGGATATCATGAAGATTACGGCATCGTATGGATATAGAGACGCCGAAGAAGAAACAGAAGAAGGATGAACAGCGTCCGAAAGGGGATAGATGGAATGGGTGAGACGGAGGAGGATATTCATAGATTGAGTCAGATGCACATCAAGCATATTCAGTTGGAAATAGCACAGGACGCGTCGATCAGCATGGAACAGATCGAGATTGAGGGGAAACAAAGAACGTACCGGTCATGTTTGTGATGGTCGAGGGCGACAGGACGGTGCTGAGCACATCTCTGAGGCGAGCACCGCCCCACTTGCAGTTGGCGATGACGCCGTCATCCCACAAGAGACCAACCACACGTTTGATGGAGGACATCTCTTTGCGACGGTTGCCTGCGCACTATTCCATAACATTGGTTTTCCGAAGACGTCGTACAAGCAACAGGAGGCACAAACCTGGAGGGCAGCTTCAACCTCTATCTTGTCAAATTTCTCCCGGATATCCTTGGCGGTAAGAGTCCTCTCGACGGGGGTAGAGGTAGCACCATCCTGGGTGTTGCTTACCCGGACGCGAATTTCAAAATTGTCCTCATCATACTCCTGGACAGGGCCGTGGTTGCGACAGTATACAAGTTCGTCGGGGGTTATTGGAAACTCGACGAGCGCGGCTGCCTTGGGCTCTGCGTTGAAGGGTTCTTGGGCGCGGACAATTAGGAGGTCGGAGTGCATGACCTCCATGGAATAGTCCATAGGGACACGCGAGACGGCGGGGACTGAGAAAAGGACCTCTGTCATGGCTGTGTTGCGGATAGGTTCGGGAAAAGGGATGAGTGGATGTCGCTCGGGAGGGGGCCATCGCATATGGGTTTTGTACGTAGATCTCAGACGTCAGGTGGGGACGCCTGCGCTGGCAATTCCGAATTCGGGTGGAATTGGGACCCGTATAGAATTAGGAACGGAACTACTGTGTAGAAGGAGCACTGGAGTTTCCGATATTGGGACATGCGGCATGTCTGTTAGCGAAGTGCGGTAGTGGGTCGGTCAACACGATGATATGAGTTTGAGGCCATAGCCATGCCTGATGCCAGCAAGCGCGGAGTTTGGCAGAGTGAGGTTAGGGTCTCTGTTGTCAGGGTTAGGGCTTGGCTCAGGCTAGATACAATCGCCCGTTTCATCCCCTATTCACTGAATATGACTACGCAATCATTCAAAAGCAGGCCACAGAAAGCACCCTTTCCCATTTCTACGCGAAATCCAGATTCTGAGCCCCCTTAGAACATCGGAACTCACCTCTGCCACGTGCACGCGCGTGCCGTGCCGTCCGTATACGTTCACTCGTTCTTTCCAGCCACCAGCCAGATTATTGAACATTACCATCTCTACCGTTCTACGCACCGGTTTCTGCCCATCCCCACTCACCATTCCATAGAGTCGTAATGGTTCTTGGGCGGCTTTTCCACTACGCCGTCGACGCTGTCCTCTTGTCGACCGTTGTTGCTGGTGTCAGGAGATCAAGTGGTTTCACGTAAGTCCGTCAGCCCTATATTACTACCTTGTCCCTGACATTTCTGTTCATTATCTTGCCTCTTCCTCACATGCGCCCATCTCCCTGCATCTCGCGCAACATGCCTAGTCCCGAAACAAGCGTGATATCTGATCCCACAATGCGCTCTGTTGCAGAACGATACTTCGGCCTTGGAGAAACCATTTTTGATATGATCCAGGGAACTGCTGTGAACAGCCAATATTTCAAGCGAGACACGAGACGATGACGAGAACAGTCTGGATGGCTGAGGAAGCACCTCGGTCATTGAGCCGGAGAATGTGCTTGTAGAGGTGCCGCACAGAGTTGTTGCGTGTCTATGTTCCATTTCTCGGGGCTTGTACGATGAACAGACGGTCGCTCATTGTATCCTATTGCTATCGCTGTGGATTGTAAATATCTCACCTCTACCGACCTAATGATTCGATCGCTTCGCAGTCGACCATCACCGAGTTGCAACAGTCTGTTTATACTGGGCTTATTTGAGATGAGGTCAAAGTTCACAGAGTCTTCCAGGTTGTTGGTCTCATACTCAGCCCGTGTCGAAGAAGAATTGTTGCTAAATATGAAATGCTAAACTAGGAAATCCGACTCGTCGTAAGTAGTATCACGGCACACGTGCGCCCGCTGCGCTCAAGTTATCTCAGCCTGACTCTGCTCTTCGGAGTCGACAAGCTCCAGCGCTCATCTCAAGCCACCCACCTTCCTGCGCTATGGTCAGATTCAAGGTACATCACCAGCACGATATTCGTGAAACCTCCCAGGACTGATGTTGTCTGTAGAATCGTTGGATTCTGGTCGAGTTCATACCTTGCGTGTCTTCTCCACCAGGTAACATCTCCAGCACCGCCGCCGGGCTCGGCGCAAGCGACGTCGAGACGAACAGCAAGCAGATCTGGAGCTCGTTGAAGCAGAGTATCATCACACATTTTGGTGACACAGGCTGGGGCGCAGTTGGCGCGTCTCTCACAGGTGCGTTTGCTGAATTCGGTGCGTAATGAATTAGTTCAAAACTGAGGCGGACGTCCTTCCTCGATTTGTGCGTACAGTTAAATACTACTCCCCGCGAACCAATGTATGCATCATTCGCGTCGCACGCGACCAGCATAACATTGCATGGGCCGGAGTGACGTTACTTTCCTCTATCGAAGGACGGAGGTACATCCCGAACGTGGTCCACGTCTCCGGTATGCGCGATTTTGTCTTGCGCGAGTTGACATTTTCTGAGCGTATGTTTTGTGCAGGCACAATCAAGCAAGCACAAATCGCTGCGATACGGCACAACAGAACGGTAGTTGCACGATATAGGGCATTGGCGAAGATTCCTGGTGCGTGTGATCGTTCCCATGCGCTCTCGCCAACCGGTCTCAATACTGTATGCTTAGTGGGATATCAAGATTCATACGAACAATTTCTCGAAATTAGCGCACAAGAAATCGAAGCTTTGCAAGATTGAGGTAGATTTTATTCAGTGGTTGCGGTCTATAAAAACAATATCTACTTTGGATGCAGATTTTTATTCTGGCTGCTACAACTTTGCTTGGAACCGCCCTATATCCTCGACGTCGATATCAAGCGCACTGTTCGACCTTTGCCATTCCTCTGCCCATTCCACCATTGCCCGCACAAGCATTTCCACCTCCCCTCGCGTATTGCCTGCGTGCAAACATACTCTGATGCGCTCCCGCCCCTTCGGTACTGTCGGCCAGGTTATTGGTCGTGCATTCAATCCTTGTTTGCGCAAGTAGGCCGAGAGTGGACGTGGATATGGCGTTAGCACCGGGATTATAGGTGGTGGGAGTGATTGGGATACAGAGACAGTAACGGCTAGGTGTGGAGGGAGCGCCAGGAGAGAGAGTGGAATCGCTCGCGTCTGGCGGCGGAAGAGCGTTAAGAAGTGCGTACTCAGCTCGAGTAGTGTTGTGGAGAGCTGAAAGGTGTTAGAATTTCTAGCAGGAGCATACCAACTGTGCACGTACCTCCGTGGCTGTTCCGTCTTCAAGCAAGTCAAACGAACAATCCGCAGAGATGATATTGGCGTAGCTGAGTGAGGTAGTGTAGATCAGCGATCTTGCGTAATTGAGGAGGTAATCGCGGATGAGCTCATTCGTCAGAATGACAGCTACCCGCGCATGACTTTAATCTCCTTGTTCAGAGGCGATCGATGGACCTCATCACGTACCTCCCGTTCCCGCCAATGCCTTGCCAAATGTATGCAATCGCATAAGCACTCTGCGCTCTAATCCAAGCATTGCCACTAGTCCTCGGCCTTGTGGGCCATACACGCCGGTCAAGTGGGCTTCATCGACCACAAAATACCCATTACCTCGCGGAAGCAGTTCTTCCACCATCTCCACCATCTCCCTAAGCGGGGCGATCGTGCCGTCCATGCTGTACAGTGTCTCTACAGCAACGAACACGCTTGACAATCCCGAGCGCAAGTCTGCCTGCTCCTCCAACAACTCCAGCAAAGTGTCTCGCAGAGCCGCGATAGAATTGTGCGTAAAGGACCTTCGGAAAGTGGGGGCGACATGAGACGCGCGCATACCATCATGTACGGAAGCATGAATGTGTTCGTCGAAGACGATCGCGTCTCCGGTCTGTGGTATGCACGAAAAGAAGCCGACGTTCGCGTCGAATCCAGAGTTGAACAGTAGCGCAGCTGGGGCAGAGAAAAATCTCGTTAGGCGCGCCTCGAGTGCGACGTGTGCAGGACCGTTCACGAGTAGGCGGGAGCCACCGGAACCGAGGACATCTGATGCGCCCTGCAGTTTGCGCAGAAATCGCGAGCGGAGGATGGGAGAGCGGGAGAGCGAGAGATAGTCGTTGCTAGAAAAGTCGACAAGGCCCGTGTCGGCGATTGGGTCGGGGAGACGGCGGCGAATGAGGCGTTGTTCGCGGGACCGCAATGCGCCTTTCAGCTTTGCGTCGAGGGAGGACATGGCACGAGCAGCCAGGGGATAGACACGGACTGGTCGCAACTCAAAGTTTTTCAGTATGGATGAGGCGCGTACGGCCGCAATATATGCTAGCCCGCGTTCGCGGCCATAGATCGGCCTTGATAATTCAATTTCAGCAGAATTTCTACCATTCGTTCCTGCAAAGAAAGAGCGCAGCGTGCGTACCTGCTTGTCGCGTTGTAAGTAAGCGTCTGCGATCAAGTCTACTTCGAGGCGGTTGGACGCAGCACTCTGCATGTATGCCATCACAAAAGGCGCAACCAGATTCTGGGTGTTGCAAGGGTGTGGGAATCTTGCACTCTCTGCACAGGCATTGCATGCAATCATTAGTCTCTTTACTAGTACATCACATCTACTACACATACCATGTTGTCCCCCTTTGCCAGGATGTCCAGCTATACTATCATGTGGCACATGCTTGCAATGGTGTCACCATCAACTTGTACAGGAGTTAGTCTGTTGCTGCCACCACCACCCTGCTGCCAACTCACCCTATGTGCCACTTCCCTCCTCATACTGCATACAACCACTGCACACTCCTCCCACTGCCTACACCACCAACTCACCCTCTATGCTGCTGTTAAGGGACCTAACGACTGGGGATCAGGAGTTCAACTGAAAACAAGAA